AAAGAAATATAAGTATAAGCATGAATATATAAAAAAACAAATAAATAAATAAATATAAATAAGTAGATATATATATGTTTATATTTATATAGGTGTATATGTATATTTATATTTATATTTATATTTATATTTATATTTATATATTTATACATGTTTACGTCGTTTTACGGCTGATAGGCTGGCTTATCTTTTTAGGATCTTTTGTTGGGTTTTATTTCGAGAGAATTCATTTGTGCAGTTATGATCAGTGATATCGTCATTTTTCTTATTTCTGCCGTGTTGTTGTTTTGATAAGTCAAGCTGCTGCCAGCAAAAGGGATTACTGCTGCTTTTTTTTTTCTTCTGTCAGTTTTTTCTAAAATTCAATAGTTTCAGTGGTCTATATGCTATTTTATGATTGTTGTATTCATGCAGAATGAAAGAAGGAGATTTGTAAATTGTTAAACGTTTCAGTCCGATGATATTAGTTGTAGTTTTGCCATTAGAGTTGATAAATTACATAAATTTTGTACGTTGTCGGAAACCACTGCTTACTTGTTGGGGAAGCCTGCTGCTATGTTCATCGTTTTTATGTGCAATATCTGTTAAAGAACGTCAAGGAAACCAAGAAGTTAAATTTAGTTTTTAAGTTTATTTTTTTCATAAATCTTTCAATCAAAAGATTATTTGTAAAAAATGTATTTTTTTTTTTTTGTTTTATTTTTTCTTCTGTCTAAGACTAGTCAGTGTTTAGTTAACTGTTAGTGCACAGAATTTTTTTCTTTGTTCTTAAATGTTTGTGGTGTGTTACGTTAATTTGTTTTAATTTGGTATATCGGCTCTAACGTCTTCGGTCAGAACTAACGAGTTTTGTGATTGCTGCATTACTGGTTTTAAAGAAGCATTGGCAGAAACGCTTGTTTGGTACTTTCTTAGAGAGATGGGAATCCTGGACTGCCGAGTGTATTTGCCAGTCTCTGTCGGTACTTTCAAACTTGTCCGCCAGGTATCGAGATGACCTGACATTTAAGTAACACGCTTATTATACTGGTTCCTAAGGTGAGATTTCTTGTTGTACCTTACTTTCAAAGATATTAAAAAGTTACATCATAGTTGTCAGTGACTTTTTTTTAGTGTGTTGTTTATGAAGACTGGCAAACTTATAACTTCTTCCAATGATCTTTTCTTTTGGATTTTTTCGGTTACGCAGTTTAAGTACTGGGATTAAAGCTGTTGAATCTTATGGTTTTTGACCTCACAAGAGTGCCTGTTAGCAGAAGTGCATAGTTCCATCAAGAAATAGAAGATTCATAGGATGTATAATAACTTTAAATATAATTGCAGTTACTACAGTCTGTTTACTCGTTGGTAAGAGATTTGATTTACTTATTTCGTTTTGTGGTCTATCATTTTCTAATTCTTACTTCCGCTCGCTTAAACTGATTTCATGCCTGTTTTAGTTTAGTCATTTCTGATCTATAGCGGGTAATGTTCTCTGTGTAATGAGTGAATTTGTGAGATCTTTGGTAAAGTTTAATAGTTTAGTCGTTTTACCGCAGTACTGTTACCTTTAATACTTTTAACTGTTTGAGATGAGAGAATTATTGGATGTCAGTGTTTCCTAATAATAATTTTTTTTTCACGTTTACTGTTTTGTCATCTTTTTAGGTCTTTGAGGTTGAAAGTTTCGTGTTTTTAAATTTTGCTGAACAGCAAAGCGATGATGAGTTCTAGTTCTCTGCACAACCGCGTACAGGTTTTTGAGGTCACTGTTGGAGAAAACTTAAATACCTTTGCTGATGATTGTGGTTTGTTGTAATCCTGGTAAATTTTTTTACTCCGTCGTAGTTCCACGTCTTAATTCTTAATTTCATCGCATGTTGGAAGGATCTTTGGTTTTTCTGGTGCTTGCAAACTTCAGATTTGTTTTACTAGGATTTTTACTTAAGACGGCATTGTTTTAAATTCACGTTGGCTTATCGATCAAGTTTCAGAAGAAATTTTTTTATTTTCATTGTGACATTCATTTCAGTTGTGGTTATTCTTTTAAGGTATCCGGGTATGCTGAACAGTCAGGCTACTTTCAAACTGTTTTTTTCTGGGAACATTGATTTGGTTTAACTATATCTCCTTCTCACTAGAAATTGAGTCTTCTATTACTTTAACTTGACATTGGTTTGGTCTTTATTCTGGTGATTTTAAGCAAGTTTTATTTGCCAGGTTAATTAGCCTGATATTTTTTTTTTCTGAGTAAGCATCACCTTAATTTTGAGCATTCTTATTTTGATGTCATTTTCTACCTGGGTTCTTTATTAAACTTAGTTGTATTGCTATAAGCGTTCGTTTTAACGAACCATTATTGCTTCATTTACAACTTTCCTTTCCTTCAGTTCTGAATTTTGTGAGACTTTCCTGTTTGACGTTTTTTTGTACGTTAATTTTGGAATTATTTAGTATTAATGGTTTTTATTAATAGAAATCTGTTTGCTTTCTCAAGTGCACTTGAAGTGGTTTTTGTTGATGGCTTCACTGGTTGAACGTGGACGTGGGCATCTTTATGTAGACATAAACTTTTAAGCTAATAACTTGGCGGCGTTTTTATTACATAGTATAATTGTTTGTCATAAGTATATGTTTTTGCGTGTCTACCCACAATTCCACTTTCATCACTCACATTGATTCATTTCTTCAAATTTATTACCATGCCAATTTGTCATCACAAGTCTTTTACAACAGAAACTAGAAGATTTTGTGCTTATATCTAGATGCTTTTACCATTATTTCTGTGGAAACAAGACCCCATAAAAGTTGAATTTAGTTTTTTTTGTTTTTTAAATTTTGAAATTGTTAACGTTTTTTGCCGAAGGGGCGGGGTAGGAAAGGAGGGGATATCCAGGTAATCTTTCCTGGTTGGGTTGCTGAGCAGTTTGCAGTGTTCCGAATGGCAGTTTAGTTTTGTTTTTTGTAGTGTAACTGTTATTTTTGTCATTTTTCAAGCTTTCTAAACCAGTCTCGTATTTACCGCTAATCTCTTCTGCTTCAGACTAGTATGGCCAAAATAATTTAGCCGACAAGCCTGAGGCAGGTAGATACGTAAAGAAAGGGAGGTCATTTTTAGCTGGTGGTGACGTTAATTTAGGTAACTAAACTAATTATTTTTCAAAGTTTCCCAAAACCGAGCGGACAGTTGGTGGTATTTCTTGGTAGCAGAAGAAAATATTCGCTTGGAAAGTATGTAAAAACTTTTCGATTTAAATGCCTTACTCGATCTATCGAATTTTGCCTTTGAAGTGAACTCGGCCGTTGACTAGTCAGTGTCATTTCGTTACAGAATGTTATATTTTCCAACAAAATTGTTTCAGGAAGTTATAGCATCCTCTGTAACGGACAGATTTACGAGTGAAATAATTTTTACTGACTTTGTTTAAAAGATCGATAAATGAGGTTGGAAAAGGTTGGAAGCATGTTTGGGTTTCGTGTTTTCAGTTGTCACTAATTCCGTGCTTTTGGTGGACTTGTTTAGACTTGCCCTATTAATTCGTAGTGGAAATCGATGGATTAACTTTTTAAGTCTTAACGCCTTTTTTCAACAAACGAATGTAGATAAGGGTCATAGTGTCGATTGTTGTCAATAAAAGTTGTTAAAAAAAGCTTTGCTGTATCGGCTGCGATGTATAGATGTCGGGGTTGCAAACAATAAAAGTTTCTGTGTTTTTCAACAAACTGGATGTGAATTTTAAAACTTTAGAGCCCTGCTGTTTTTTGACCAGTCATTGAGTATCCTTTTAGTGGTCATTTGCTACTTTATTTAACGTTACACAGCCTGACGGATTGATCGTTTTAGTGCTTTGATTTTGTTCTTGTATGATGAGCGCAGTTAATTTAGTTGATTAAATGTGACCGATACTTGTGATACTTTGGTTCTCAATAGCTTCTTAAATATGTGTAATGTTAGTTTTAAATAGCTTCAGTGAAGATTCTTTGAAATGGCTTCGGAAGATGTGGTTTTTCATATAAACATCGCATTTCTTGTAAATCTTCACCAGCTCGCTCTTACCCCTTATGAAATAAATCCACTTAATAATAGTTTCTCAGCTAGTATCTAGCTGTATTTTAACTGTAAAAAGACTGATAATCACAGCTTTTCTTAGTGGTTGCAGTACTTTATTATCTTTTTGTTTTATTCTTGTAACCGCATTAAAAAGGTTGTGGACTTTAAAAGCTATTGGTGCGTAATAATCATGACTAATTTATTTTTTTAAATTACGTCCGATTTATGAACAAAAACTCCGTGTCTGTTAATACAGTCATTTTCTTTTTTAATCTTAGTTTTTATAGAAGGCTTTTAGAACTGGGTGACCTGTAAATATAGCAGTAGCACTTGGTCGTGGGGATTGTTACTGATAACTGAGATGGCAAGTACTTCGAATGAAATTTATTCATCTCGTAAAAAGGTTTGGTTTTATATTTTTATTTTACTTTTTGTTTTTATTTTTTGAGGGGATCGTGAAGCTACAGTTTATTGACCGTTAACTGATTTCAGTTTTCTGGGAGTGTAGCTAGCATTACTTTTTTATGTCTGTTTTTTTCAGATTTTAATTGGGATATGTGCGATGAAACGAAAGGCTACAAGCAAGCCGATGCGTGAAATTATGGCAAAAATTGCAGAATATTATCAGGTTTCCCCTTTATTTAATTGGGCTTTTGGAGCGAAAAAATTGCTCATTGACTCTGGCAACTAAGTTGTCAATAGTCTTTTGTAAAAATATTCTTGTAGTATTCATTAAAAATATGGCAAGATATCCTTTTATTATATATTATTCTTACTCCCGTTGTCAGCTGGTTGAGCGCATGTGCTCATGCAGGGGAAGTTGCTATATCAGATTCCTCTTCACATAAAATTGTTTGGGGGTAGAATTCTGATGAGCCATTATTGAGTTTAAAAACTTTGAACAAGAGAGGTAGTCATTTTTAGGACTGGCTGGATGTTTTTGTTTTCCCAGAAGAAGTTATTCTTAATGACCCTGTAGAGTCATGGCCATTGTGTGATTGTCTGATAAGTTTTCACGCGACTGATTTCCCTCTACACAAAGCTATAGAATACGAACGTCTTAGGCGACCGTATGTTATTAACAACCTGAACAGACAATATGATTTGGTAAGTGTCAAAAAATCTTTTGTTTTCGTCTCAGTAATTTGTCAGAAGATTTTACTCCTCTTTGAAAAGTTATTCGAGTAAGCGCCAGGCTTTGAATTTCTTATTTGTTTTGCAAAAAACTTGTAAGTGATATATGGTAGACGATCAAGTTACTTACGGGTATATTGCAGTACTCTCCTAAATCTTTTGTAATTGTAGTTGGACCGAAGGAAAGTATTCAAAACTCTAGCTCGCGCAGGCATTGAGCATCCGAGACATGGGGTTTTGGTCAGAGATAAAGATGGAAATGTTGGTAGGCGTTGGAAAGGTTTTAAATATTAAAATCTTCTTTCAAAATAAATTTTTCAAATTGTTTGTGGCTCTAAATGTAGGAATCTGTCGAAAATTGTTTCTCTTTGGTTCTAATTAAGTAAGTACGTCTTTTCGGCATATTTTTAAGAAGGAGAGTTAAAAGAATTCAACGATCATATCGAGGTAAATGGGATGGTTTTTAATAAACCTTTTGTGGAAAAACCGTTGTCTGCAGAGGACCATAATGTTTATATATACTACCCAAGTTCTGTAGGGGGTGGTTCTCAACGTCTGTTTAGGAAAGTTAGTTTTTGAAAATTCATTTTTTGTTTTTTAATTTTGATAGCACTGGAGTTTAATGTGTTGTCTTCGTCTTCTTTTACCGCTCAGATTTTAACTACAGATTAATAACAGAAGTAGCTGGTATTCACCGGTTAGCACTGTACGGCGTGAGGGGTCGTACATTTATGAGGACTTTATACCTGCAGATGGCACTGATGTCAAGGTATGCATTTAAAAAAGTTATTATATTTTAAGCTTGAAACTTCAGGAAAATTACTGCTTTTTTTCTTTCCTTAGGTTTATGCTGTCGGCCCATATTACGCCCATGCTGAAGCCCGTAAGGCGCCTGGTCTTGATGGGAAGGTTGAGAGAGATTCTCACGGAAAAGAAGTTCGTTATCCTGTCATATTAAGCAGTAGAGAAAAAATGATAGCGCGAAAAATTGTTCTTGCATTTGGGGTAATTTTCTTCCACTTTATTTTGATAGGATTTTTTAAGATTGTTTGTTTTTGTCATTTCTTAATTTATTAAGCTTGTTTTGGGTTTTTCACATTATTTTTTAGTTTACCACTACTATTATTTACTATAAATATTAGTATTTTTATTGTTATTATTATTATTGTCATTATTATCGTTATTAATAACAATAATAATATTATTATTATTAGTATTAATATTAAATAATGACCATCGCTGCAGTTACTTTGTTGCTTTTATTATTGTTATTACGATTGCTATTATTTCTTTCGTATACAACAAGGTGAGGCTTGAGTGCCACAAAGTATTCTACCATTCTAACTCTACTAGTTAAGAATTTAATCTTTATGGAGGTTTAATTATTAAGCAAACCGTATGTGGGTTCGACCTTTTACGAGCTGACGGAAAATCTTACGTCTGTGACGTCAATGGTTTCTCCTTTGTGAAAACTTCGACTAAGTATTACGAAGACACAGCGAAGATTTTGGGGAATGCCATTCTTAGGCGACTGGCTTCAAGTTTGAGTATACCATGGCAAATTCCATACCAAGACGGTTAGCATTTGTACCTTCTGTCAGCTGAAAAGGCTTTTTATTTTCTTTATTGTATTTTCTAAATTACTTAGTAAAACTCATAGAAAATTGTTACATAATTTCGTGTTTATTTTTTTTAACTGTTTGGTAGTCAAGTTGATAAGAGGTTCTTCTCTAAACTAAGCTGTAATATTGATTTTTGCAGATGACCCACCTTTAGTATCTACCCCAAGTGGGAAGATAATGGAATTAAGGTGTGTTTTAGCTGTTATTCGTCACGGTGACCGTACTCCAAAACAGAAAATGAAGGTTTGGTCATGGTATTTTGAGGCATTTTTCAGTAGGAGGACTATTACGATTGTATTAGAGACGGGTTTCAGGCTTTCTTGCATTTAATATAGAGTTTTAATTTGCTTTTTCTTTTTTTCTATTTTGAGCTAAAAATTTTTTTCACTTTATTTTAATAAATGAATAAAGTATTAATTTTTTTTGCTTTTACAGGTAGTGTTAGATGTGGTGGTTATTTTCTCGTTGTTCTATAGCATGACTTTTTAGAGCTGGTTTTTTGTTGTTCTTTCTATGCTTTTCCAACCACTTGAGAGGTATGACTGATGGCTCCTTCTCTAATACTTCTGCAAAAGGTATTTCTCTGCAGGTTGTTGTGACAGATGAAAGGTTTTTTGATTTGTTTCGTAAATACAATGGCTTTGAGAAGAACGAAATCAAGATGAAAAGACCACAACAGCTTTTAGAGGTTTTGGAATTAGCGAGACAGATACTTCAGGAGCAGCAGGTGGTTATTGGCTTTTCTGAAGGTTTTACACTTGGTAAATTAGACCCAATAATTTAAGTTGAGAAATAGTATTATTATTGGTAGTTGCATTCTACATTTCGTATTCTATTAGTATCTGCTGATGCTGCATTACTTAGGTGTCAAGGTCCGAACTTACAAAATATTTGAACGGCAAAGCTGAAAATGCTGCGAATTCCAAAAGAGTTGAACAGCAACTTGATCAATGTGAAGAAAATATTAAGAAATGGGAACAGATACGAACGGTTTTAGAAATGTATCAAGCTTTTTTTTACAAACCTCAATTAAACTTTTTTAGTTTTAGTAGAAAAAATATGTGCGAGAATATGCCGCTTGGAACTTGATGAGGATGGTTTCAATTTGAAGGGGCTAAACTTTATTACTTTTTTATCTGCAGGTATGGTCATTTCTCAGGGATTAACAGGAAAGTGCAGCTGAAATATCTAAAACCGAGAGAACTCAAGAACTCATCAGATGGAGAGGAACAACATCAACCTCCAGCTTTGATGCTAATTCTGAAGTGGGGTGGCGAACTCACAACTGCTGGTTTGGATTTGATTTACTATTTTTCTACTTGTTTTTTTGCATGGTTTTGACTCATTTTAAGATCTGCGTAAAGTTACAATTTTGAGCATAAGATTTAATCTGCTTTTTGAAGGAAATCTTCAAGCTGAGGCGTTGGGAAAGCTCTTTAGAACTCTCTATCCTGGAATTCGTCGCACAGACGGGAAAAGTTGTCCGGAAGATACTCAGGGTATTGTAATTAGTATTGTTTTAGCTTCATTCTGAATTTTAAAGATAAGTTGAAGGGAAAATCTGTCGTGTAAATACTGCTGTGACATATTCACATCAGGAGTGTGAAATTGGCGGCCTACATTTCTGCCCCTTCATCTGATTTTGCGAAAATTTGATAACCTAACTCACCCCGAAACTGGTAAATTCTTAATCCATAATGTATTCCTCTGAATTAAAAATTCTTTTGGTCTAAAGTGGACAGTTTTGCGAACAGGAGTAAAGTTTGTTCCTTGATTTAAATTTTTATCATGGGTTTAAATTTTTTAGGTCTGGGATTCCTTCGCTTGCACAGTACGTATAGACATGATTTGAAGATATATGCTTCTGATGAAGGCCGAGTTCAGATGACCGCAGCAGCATTTACAAAGGTACTGGTTGGAGTCAGCTACATTAGATTGGTTCTTTAAAGGGTGTTGTCATCAACAGTTTTTGTTGCTTTCATTTGATGACCTGTAGCAGTTAGAGCACTTGCGATGTAATTGAAATTTACCAATGTTTTTCGACTAGGATACACTTTTCGATGTGCAGGTAGCTTTGATTCAATGTCTAGAGTTTGGTCATCTCAAGACTTTCGAGTAGCTGATCTTTTGTGGATCGAGTTCAATAACTTTTGAGATAACTATGTGTGAGAATATTTATTCAGGGTCTCTTGGCTTTAGAAGGAGAATTAACACCAATCATTATGCAAATGGTGAAATCTGCAAACACCGACGGGCTTCTTGATGACGACTTCAACGCAAGAGAGTGCCAAAATGAGCTCAAGTCTTATTTGCATTCTGCTTTACAGGTTATCGAACTTTCATCTGAATAATTTTGTTTTTTTTCTAGGTTACGTTTATGGAATATTGAATTAAAAGCAGTTTTTGATTACTTGGTTTTTTCTTCAGGTGGATAGAGAGTGGACTCGTGAGGATTATGAAAACATTAATCCATCGAACTTACGCGGGATTAATAATGCAATGGAATTCATACGTAATCCAAAGAAAATGTGCGAAGAAATTGCAGGATATCTGGAGAAGATGGTGGACATTATCAATTGGAATAAGCAAAATAAAACAAGTAACTGTTTCTTTTAATGTTCTTTATGCTGTTTTCTTCGTTATTTTAGTTTATTTAGTATAGAAAAAAAAATTACACGAGCTTTACAGTGAATATGTAGACACGCAAATACCTCTTTCGGAATAGTAAATTTTTTGCAGATAAAACCTTGTACTTAAATGAGACTTTCGACTTGGCGGAAAGACGATGGGGGAAGGAGTTACGTGAATTTAGACGTGTTGACAAAGGTGGTGAAGTTGAGTTTGACATATCTAAAATTCCTGATATTTATGATAACATTAAATATGACATGGAGCATAACCCTGATCTTTGTGCGGACTATGAAGGAGAGTTTGAAAGGATGTACTTGTGCGTAAAAAACATGGCTGATATTGTCGTACCTCAGGTAATTGGACTATTTTTGTCTAGGAACGACTGCTTTGACTTATCGCTTTTTATTTGAAGTAGAGTTGGTGTAAAGAACTGCTTTTATCTGTCTGGCATAGCAAATCGGCGGTGACTGTGATGATATATTGCTTTGACATCAAAAAATATTTGAGAAAAACTCAGTTTTCTGGGCTTATTTTTGTCGGAACCATCATAAAATGGTGGTTTTAAGTGGTCTTCACTGTAATAGAGTCGTGCTCTGTGTAGATGATTGGATCTTTATTCTTGATCGCGAATATTTTTTGGAATTTATAAACTTCAGTTCCTTTCAAAGGTTTTTTGGAAATATTGTTTCTTTGAACACTTTTTAGGAATATGGGATTAGTGAAGCTAGCAAAATTAGTATTGCGCAAAGAATTTGCACACCTCTACTGAAAAAAATACGTAGCGATCTTTATCGTTGCTTAGAAAAGTCAGACGAAGAAGACGAAAGTCAAACCCGTTTGGATCCGCGGTATACTTTTCCCACTACTGTTTTTTTGCTTTTAGAAACATTCTAATTTGCGATTTTTCTAAATACAGTGAACTTTAGAGCATCCCAAGGAATCGCAACTCCTCTACGCCACGTTAGAACTAGGCTCTATTTTACTAGTGAATCTCACATCCATACACTCATGAATCTGCTCCGTTATGGAGGGTTGTGTCCTGTAAATGCTTGAATAAATTTTCTCTTTTTTTATTTATTTTTGCTTCTCGTACAAGGGTACTTTTTAATTGAAAGAACCAAATAAATACTCACGGATCATTCTTTTCTTAATTTAGGCTGATGACAAAAAGTGGCAAAGAGCTTTGCACTTTCTATCTGGCGTTACAGAGTTTAATTATATGACCCAAGTTGTTATGATGGTTTATGAAGACAGTAGGGCGGATAGCGATAAGAATGGAATGGATAGATTCCACATAGAATTACTGTTTTCCCCGGGTCTTTACCCGTGCTTTCAAGCTGAAAAAGAAAGAATTTATGAGACTCGATTTCCTCAGTAGGTTTAAGTCCTCTCAGACTTTTACTGTTCTTTGTTTAATTTGTTTAGGTGCCTTCAAATTCTTGTTGAAGATACCAAATTTGCGTTTTCAAAGATTTAGTTCTTCCGTCAACTCTGCTGGCCACACAAAAAACAAGCTTTCAAAAAAAGGTGCTTTGGCTGATTCGAGCACTTCA